GCTGCCCGTCCCTCGACCCCAGAGCTGTGATCACCCACCCTTCGCCAGGTCTCACCCTGCTGCAGGGTCCCCTGTCATTGTGCAGGCCACGAGTTTTCATAGGATTTAGCAAAAATCTGAGACAGAATAACTGCACTCTAGATCTGGAAAATTCAGTGCATAGAAAAAGGATCTCCTCTCCTGCCCTGCCTTGCCAAGCCCACCCGAGAACCTCAGTCCCCAAATGACACACAGAATAACGGAAGTTAATGCAAGGCCTTGACACCCGACAGCAGTGCAAGAGCACTTTGCTCTCCTGGTTCCTTGCTCACTGTACAGCTAGGCATGAATGAACATGCAGGGTCCTGATGCTGTCATTAGAACCTGGTCGTTGACTTCATTGGACGCGATGCCCTGGCATAGTTGTGCATAAATTCAAGTTCACTGCTGTTCCCAGTGTGGCATCCCGCAGTACTGGGAATGAAGAGCAAATTACTTAATAAGTGAAAATCATCTGGTATATATAGCTTTGAGAAGAGCTTAGCATGGTGAAGAATTGAATGGCTTGGTTCTCGTATCCAAAATAGCTCACGGGCAACAGCCCACTTTTGTATTCCAGTAAGTCCAAGTGAGAGTAAAACCAGCAAAACTTAAACATGATTGTTATTTTTTGTTCAGTAAACTGCAAGACCATTCTGTTTCCTTTTAATGTTAGTCCCAAATGTGCTTTATTTATTATACTTGTTTGTATTCTTCTCTAGGCTGACTCTCTTTTGACTTTTCAAGTCTATTTTATGGTAAAACGAATCTAATTTTCTGATACTGTTTGGAGGTGTAGGATTGGTTTAAACTCAGATTAAGACAATACATTCTATTCTGTAAAGTAGTGGTTCATTTAATCTCAGTGTCTCATTCTCCTCACCCATAATACAAAAACACTAATTTCTCATGTTTCAATAACAAAATGTTGCACTGTAATTACTGATATTTGCCAGGCAGTTGGAAGGTGTGCAAGGGAGGGTATGAGTCCAAATGATTACATATACAGCACTGTATTTATGAAGTTTGTTACCTTGTTTAGGAAAAACCACAAATTTTGCAGATATCTCAGACTTTCTATCTGAAAGTCTGCCCAAAGAGATTGTAGCTAAAGGATATGCTGTGAAATTCAGCCTAATTATTATCCTTCTCAGAAAAGTTATGAGAGCCCATCTCTGTGAATCTGATTCAGTTCTTCCTTACAGTGGTGCAGACTGAGTGCAGTGATTCAGGATTAACTGTAACAAATCCGACTTGTTGGGTCAAACTCCAGAATAGTTTGTGTATCCAGGCTCCAAAGAGCTTGGGTCTTCACTTTCCGGGAATTGATTTAATGCTCAGAAAAGGAGGAAGAACATTTCACTGGCAACTCTGCTATATCGAGGGCTAGCTTCACCTTTCAAAATTATCAAATTAATTTATTGAACTGTTTTATATAATCCACACCTTTTGACTTAACTGCCTTGTTTGTAGAGTGATTTCGAATGAAATTGGATATTATAAAAAAGTAGATGTCTGGTAATGATGAACTGATGTGATTTTGGTGAGGGGCTTCCCTGTGTTTTTCCTCGACTAAGAACATTTTTTTATATTTCAGCTCTGCCTCTAAAGTAATCATGGTTCAAGGCATCAATATTTCATAAGGCATAAACGGTTCCCCTTTAGGAAAAGTAAAAGCAGTTTTTCCTGTTTGTGAAATTTCCACATTGCCAAGAACAAGAAAGCTTTTGAAACACTATCTTTGCTGCCTGCAGACCTTCACTGCCTTATAGGGTCTGAATCCCATGGATTCACGCTGGGGGCGGGCCAGGAATACTGGCTTTTCCTCTTTCTGGGTGATTCTGGGAGGCCTGCAAATGATGTCATGGTACATTTTAGGCTACAATAACAGGAAATCATCAAGTGTTTACACTGGCAGACTGGGCTGTGATGTGATTTTCCTCCTCTTCCTCTCTGCCCCCCCCACCCACCTCGCCCCTGCCATTGACTTCCTTGATATATCTGCTTCCTCTGATTAAAATACTACAAGGTGACAACACTGAAGGAGGAAGAAGGAAAGTGGAGGAGACAGAAGGGCATATTTTAAAAAAAGATTATTCCCCACAAAGCACTAACAGAGAGCACAATCCTCCTTCTCTGGCCCCGCACATACTGTGTTAGTGCAGCAGCCCAGACACGTCAGAAACTGGACTGCTGAGGAGCTGGAGGATGAACCGCTCCCAGCTGAGACATGAAAAAGAAACTCTCCCCTCCCTAGCACAGATGAGTCACAGAAAAGATCTCCCTGGCAAAGTTTTGCTTCTGAACTTTCCTGCCACACAGGCACATCTGAAAATATATGTCATGGGCTTATGGACTCCAAGGAGGAGGAGGCCATGCTTTCAAGGTTTGGGTCACAGGAAGGATGCCAGAGACCTTTGCCCAGAGATTGTACCACAGTCTGTGGCAAACATCAGTTTTCAATCAAAGGTGAGTGAAGGTGCTGGGGTTGGACGGGGCTTCAGGCACTGTTTCGACCACGGATGCACAGTATGAACGTTAGATATTGTGTCCTTTCCAACTTGCTAATACAAAGGGAAGAAGGAGGAAGATGTAAGGAGGTATCCAGAAGACAAGGGATTCCAATGAGGTAAAACAGACTAATTGGCTTCAGGACAGGTTATGTTTCCTTGAAGGGTACAGCATGACTATATCCTTCCAGCTCACTACTATGGCACTGGACTAGCAGAGTGCACACAAGCAGCTCTGAGTTGGGGGACACTAAGGAGTAGCTGGCAGGGGCTAACTCTAGAGTAGATAATCAGGATTGCTGGAACTTAAGGAGAATGTGTGATGAAACAGGTCATTTACACCAATGTGGAAGGAAGTCTGAGATGAGAAAGATTGCAAATATTAAAGAAGTTCTCTGTAAATGACAATGTGTAAAAGAAGTAGACCTCAGGATAAGCTGGGATCTCCTTTCTACACTCTGTCACAAGCCAAAGGTATCCAATGAAACTGAAAAGGCAAATAATTTTAACGATTTTTTTTTCACACAGTATACACTTTGCTGTATACATATATATATATATATATATATACCTGATCTAGGATATCACTGGGACCACAGTAGTTCTCTCTGTTCAGGAAAAAATTGTACTTTTTACAGGTAAAAAGGTCCATGTTGCATAGCATACAGAAACAAAGACTGGAGCAGCAGTGTACAATCAGGCTAATTTCTAACCTGTCTCTTGCTAGACTGTATGTGAACTTACTCTGCTGCAAGGAAATGGTAGAGACGCACAGAAGCCCTGTCTCTATTCCTTGAGCTCTCCTGTTCCCTGGTTTTCCATGAAACAGCATTTTCATGTCTTGCAACCATGTAAAGAACCTGGTATGTGTCTTACATTGGGCCATCCTTAAGGAGAAAGGTCTTTTCTGACAACTTCAGCAACTGTTGATACATTTGCAAAGAGTGGGCTTTCTGCTTTAAAATCCTTATTTTCTGTGTATGCTGCATATCTGTGTTGGCCATGAGCTCCTCTGAATACAACCACAAAAGAGTGATAAAGGCACCCCCCTGAAGCCATACAAGTTTGCAGATGACACAAAGCTGGGAGGAGCTGTTGACTCCCTTGAGGGCAGGGAGGCCCTGCAGAGAGACCTGGACAGATCAGAGGGCTGGGAATCACCAACCATGGGAAGTTCAACAAGGGCCAGATGATCCTTGTCGATGATCCTTGTGGTTCCCTTCCAACTCAGCATATTCTGTGATTCTGTGATTCTATAATCTCCAGCTCCCCAGCTGGGCCACAGGAGCAGGTCATAAGCATGGATAAGCCTCAGTCCCTTTCTTTCGTTGGGCTGCACTGGAGTAACGAGCGAACTGTCCCACAAACTACTCTCACAGTGGGTAACAGCAGCAGGCAGAAATGCTTTCCCCTTACCACTCACTAAAGCAAAATGCCTTGTAGTGTTCCTCTTGTAGTGTTCCTCTTGCTTGGGAAACCTGCAGCTCTCTCCACGAGAGAGAAGTGTGGTCTAGAGAGGGGAAGGACTCTGACCTGGTTGGCAAAGCCGTATTGCCAAGCACAGGCCCCATTTCCCCATCACTTCTGTGCTGTGTGAAGCTGTACTGGCATTTCCAAGTGACAAGCAACTCCTCCTACTTCCACAGTGGGGAGCACTGGGAACATGAAAAAGGACGGGAGCTGTATTTATTCCACGCTTTTTCAGAGGTCAGCTCAAATTGGTAGCACCGGTCAGCATGCACAAAGGAATTTTTTGCTGGGAAATCCTAGACTAGTTTGCAGGAATGTGTTCTTTTTACTGATACTTCCATGAAAGAAGTCAAGAGTGCTCTTTGTCATATGGTTTAGTGTCATATGGTAGTCCTGCAAGGAGCAGGGAATTGGACTTGATGATCTTTATGGGTCCCTTCTAACTTGAGATATTCCATGGTTCTATGGATGTTTTAGTTTTCTGAACAATAAAGATGGAAGAATTTTCATAAGCTAAAAATGTCTAATTACATTTTTCTTATTTTGGACATTATATCTGTATCAATGCATTACTGTATTTGCACGTTAAACATGTAGTTGTTTTTTCTTGTTTTGTCTTTATTTCAATCAAGTGGGTTTACTCAATTAAAATGTCTCATTGTGGTATTATCAAAGTGATTGTTTCACTCTGGACCTGACTGGTGATCACTGGACTGGGTGACCCTGGTAACTGTCAATGGATGTGATCCTGACTGGGGTCTGCAGATTCACTCCTCATCAGCACAAATTTGCCTCATGATGAGGAGTCTTGGCTGAGTCTGGCTGCCATCTCTGGGCCTGCCCTTCTCAGCACACTTCACCTGGCACTGTGTACCTGGTGCCTGGCTGATGAGGGTCCTGCTCTGGCCATTGTGGTTTTGTGCTTGAATCCTGGGTCGCTGACTGACCTTCCAGGAAATGCTGGCCCCCACTGCATCCTGACAGCCTGATTCTTAAGAGATATCCACCTTCTGACTTTTTATTCTGATTCAAAATAAAAGCATATTATCAACTGACATTGTCTCTCCAGCTTCTCATGTGCTTTGTGTTGTGTTTGCAGCGTTTTTAAATTTCACTTTAGACAAAAACATACTGTAATTGCATTAGAACAGAGGGAAGTTACCTCGTGTTTCAATACAAATAAAGTAGCCTTAAAATGATATCCTGAACAGAAAAATCATAGCGACAAAATTTAATCAAAATTGCAATTAAACAACCTTGATGAAATTTAAATATATAACTGTTATTGCATACAGATTTTTTTACTTACTGAAAAAAATAATCTTAGCACATCACTCTGCTATATAAACAATGGGACGTGGGGGTTTCTTATACCTTAAAAACTTTTGTTATTTCAAAATTAAACATACGTAACAAGCCTATCCAGTCAAAAGATAAATATTCCTAGTTTATATCTATGCCTTAAGAAAGTAAATTACATTAAAATTATATGGAGTACTGTAGATGATGTACTTCTTTTTGAACAGCAAAAATACACAGATATTTTGGCTAATAGCTCAGTGACTGTTACATAAAAATCAAAAACTGCAGAAATGTGTTGATACAATGGAAGTGTCTGATGAAATTTTCATCTCACTGAGGTCAATGAGAGGTTCCCATTGACTCTGGCAGATACAAAAGGGCTTTGCTGTCAGAGGGCTCTCCTTGCTGCTACCAAGATGCCACAGCAATACTTGTGAGCCCTCAAGGCAGGTTATCCAAAAGTGTGGGCTTTTAGGCCTACAGGTATTCAGTTCAGCCTGCTGCCTTCTTTACATGTACATCTGATTCTGGCATATCAGATGTACTGGCTTGTTTAGATAAAACAAGGAAACAGAACATTGTTAAAAATAGCCAATCAGAACCCATGCCTCCTCACTGCTGTCAGAGCAGGACCGTGCACAGATCGTCTTTCCCAGCATGCAAAATGACATTATGGTCTGTCAGGCAACGGAGGGCAGAGATAACATCATGAGTTGTTTGCCAGCTAAGGCAATATGCTGTGAGCTCAGATCATAGAACTGGGTGCTGTGGGGCACATTCTAGGCTGTAAAGCAGTTTGTCTCTGAATAGCTAGGGGGGACAGAGAAACCGTGGCACATAAAAAGTACAGTATGGGAAAGACCCATGAGATTCAACAGTTCTGATCAGTTGTGTATCAAGTACTGCAAGCTCACCAATTATTTGAAATATGCTAAGGCAAGTAAATGCAGTAAGAACTATTTGCACTCCCCTTCCACCAAAGGAAATAAACCGTGCTGAAGGTTTATTGCTAAAAGCAAACGGAAACAGAGGTTCCGAAATGTTAATATTTCTTTCTTCTCTTCAGCTTCTGTTTGAAGATAGCAACACCATAATAGCTTTTACATTTTACCAGGAAAATGGGTATTGGGATGATAATGGTTAACATGCTGAACACTGCAGCTAAGGCTGCTGTCACTTGACCAGCTGCGGTGAGAGGGATAATATCTCCATAGCCCACGGTAGTGAGTGTGATTAAAGCCCATCACAAGCAAACATGAATGTCAGTGAAGTGCAGCTCCCCTGTGTAGGAAGGATGGCTACCTAGCAACTCCCCATAGAAGAAGATAGAGGCAAAGAAGAGGGTCTCAAAGGCCAAAATCATCAGCAGGATGCAAATCTCTCTGAGGATGTAGCACAGAACCCTGAGGACCAGTGGCATTTCTATCAGCTTGGATATCTTCAGGAGTTTGAGACAGACAATGCAAACAAAACCCAACCAAAGCCCCGGGCTTGGTGCTCTATGAATCTGCCCAGTCATAAACAGTTTCATATATACTGGGAAGAGGGAGAAGAAGTCAACCATGTTCAGGGGATTTTGGAAGAACGACTTCTTGTCTGGACAGAAACAAAATTGCACAGAAAACTCAAAAGTAAACCAGAGGACATAAATTAGCTCCAGATGAACCAAGTAGGCAGTCTGCTGGTAATAGGGTTCCTGGTCATTGTGGAAGACCTCAGAATCATCAACAGAGGTCAAGCTAGGAGTAAAGAACTCAAATTGTGCCTTAGTCTCCTCGCAGAATACGATGACAATTCCAACGATGAACAGTAGAGAAACAAAAGCCAAGCACTTCAGAGGGAAGAAAAGGCACATATATAAATAAATCAACAAACAAGTATCATATAACCTCACTGCCCCACCACAACCCCAGGACCACCTCCACAGGCACAATACAATCCCAGACTAATCTTTCTCAAATCAACATTGTTCAGTTCACATGGGAGTGTATTTTCTCCTTCCAGATTTGAAAAATAATAGAGAAGATTGGAGTCAAATAAAAAAAATCTGAATTCTTATATTGGCATTTGTAAGGAAATACTCCAACAGCTGGAGCAGTGTGGACAGACTCACACTGAGGGCCTCTTCAGCATTAAATGTTGGCTCCAGAAATACCAGCAGCACAGAAAACATCCTCTGCAAGTCTCTGATTTGTGTTTATTGTTCTGCATGCCTGACATTTTAAAGAGGTATGGGGCATGCATTTTGTGTAGAGAACAGGGACAAGAGAATGAGAGAAAAATAAGGTGTCTATTAGTGAGAAGAAAATTTTTTCTTTTTTAATCCAGGACTAAAAGTATACCTACCAAAGATATGAACCCATTAGCATTTTTCATGGACCCATTCCAGTAATCCCAAAGGACACAGGTTGTGTCCATCTGCACTTATAGTATTACCTTAGCACTGAAAGAAGAAAAAGTTTTTTCAAATATAGACCAAATCTTTGGCTGCCACCTGGTTCACCAGCTGAAATCCCTTCTTTCTGTCTGGACTATGAGGCATTGGTCGTCAGTTTGTTCATCTTCATCACAAATGTTATATTCCTCTGGTTGCACCTCTTTGTTATTCAGCTTCAGCCAGCAGCAGGGTGCTAGCTATATCTCATTTATTTCCCAGAAAATCAGCTCTTCTTCTAAGACTGACTTACAGGTATCAATGGGGCAGTGGAAATGTTCGGTCCTATAACAGTTCAACACAGAGCTGAATATCTCAGCGCTCCTGTCAAAAAAGAACTCTTTGGCGGTGGGATCATAGTCGTAGATTCTTGGGGCATGAGGCTCTGTTAGACTGCACAGCTTGGTCCCTGGGAAGGTCCAAAGAATGCTGCTGTATGTCTCATATCTGACTCCTCCAATAATCAGGATGATTTTTTCCTTGGAGTCTTCAATCTGTGAGGGAGGAGGAAGAAGCAGTCCTCATAGGCTCTTGTTTATCTTCAGTTGAAAAGAGAAGAACACAAAAGAAGTAAAGTAAAGCAAGTTCTGAAGCAGTAAGGATTTCCAGGATACCTCACTGCAGTGCTTTTAATCACATTTTGTACCTGAAACCTGCATCTCCTACAGGGAGGAAGGCCCTTCTGCCCTTCCCCATCATGTTCAGTGCCTGTTCCTAGACTTTGCTCTGTGGATGCATTGTCTGAACACTTTTCTTGCTCCCTGCTGTCTCTATAACAAGCACTAAACTCTTCACATCCTTCTCCCTCTCTGCAGAGAGTAAGAATGGAAACTATTCCTTTAAATTTGATTTCTGATATGTCTTTAAGGTTTTGATCAAGCCTGATACATCCTATCTGTTCCACAGCACTGTTTGCCTTTTACAGCCTTTGCACTGCAACTGATTTCTAAAACCCAGAAATAATCTGGCAAGCAAAATGACACATGGTGTTCCTATGCTCTGAATAAGACCCTTTGATTGTAATAAACAGCTTGTCCTTTCAGAGCATTTTTTAAGCAGATGAAAAGTGCAACTCCATTTCCATTTTCAGTGCCCTATTCCAAGCTTTTTCTCTGCCTCCCATCTTCTGAGAATTCATTTTCACTGCATGAGGCACTGCGGGGCTTTGGCGATGAATGTCAAATCTGCTCCCTCAACCTTAATACTTTGAATAATGAACTCGTTTCAATTTGGCCTACTTTTATTAACACCAAAGAACAAGGTAGACTTTTCAAGATCAGGTGATTGAAGCTACAATGAACTGAGGCATTTTTCAAAGATGGTATTTTAACAGAACTCATTCAGCATTTCTTTCCCATAATCTGTGGTATTTAATAAAATAAATATTTTGTACAAGGCAGAAGTTCTGTGGTTTTTTCCCTGTTCACTCATATTCAGATGCACCAGTCTCAACTAAGCACTCAGGAATACTCATGTAGTCTGAACTGGAGGGGTGGTGTCTTCATTAACTACATTTGTGCTAGAATATAAGAGAAGTTTTAGCTTTCCAGTATAAGCGTTTCTTTAGAGGTTGTTCATAAAATATTTGTGAGGATGATTAACAGATTCCTACTTCGAAATACTGAACAAAAAAAGCTTAAGCTATCGTAAAGTCCTGACAGTTTTAGGGAAAGACCAAGCTACCCTTTCGGTGCTGGAGATAGGACCAGAACCTGCAGGTTTAGCTTTTCTACTCTCAAAACCAGTGCACGGAGCTTCTGTGGAATCTCACCTCCAGACCTTTTTTTCCCATCCCATGTTTCAGCTCTACCTCTCCCCTGACGTCTAACACAAGTGTACTCCTCAGATTACGCAAACAGATCAGTGAAAAGTTTTTTAAAAAAACTTTCAAAAGTAAGGTGATTTATTACCTGGATTACTGCAAAAACGTGTAAAATGTTGCAAGCGGAGAGCAGTTAAATGTTCTGCAAGTGCAGATCCGCCCAGCGCAGGCTGGCAGGGCGGTGGCAGTGGCAGTAGCTGTGACCTGAGCAGGGGAGCTGCCTCCTCCCCGTGCCCGGCAGCCCCGAGTGCGGAAGGGTCCTGCAGACACGGCGTGAAGCCCTGCACTGCCCACCTCTGACTTCGCCTCCCGCCGCAAGGACCCTGTTCCACAGCCCCCCAAGGCCTGCATCTGGCCGCGCTTCCTCGCACGGCTCCGCTCGCCCTGATCTCGGACACTCTTCGCCGTCCCTCAGTTCCCCGCAGCTGCACGAGAGGCCAATGCGCCTGTTCCGCGCCCCTTGGGCCGCGGCGGGTCCCCGGACGAGCCCCACCACGCTCGGGAAGCGCGGGGAGCCCCGGAGCGGAGGCGGGAGGGCGCAGGGAGCAGGCGGGGCGGGAAGGCGGGAGCGCGCAGGCGGGGGAGCGGCGGGCGGCTCGTCGGGCCTCACGTCGTAGGGCCGCATGTCGGGCCTCACACGTCGTGCCTCACGTCGGGCCGCATGTCGGGCCGCGCCGGGTCGGGCTGGCGCCGCGGGCGGCTGGGCTCGGCCCCGGCCCCCGGCGCAGGCGTGAAGCCGCTGCGCACGGTGGTGGCGTGGAGGGGCGGGCGGAGTGGGACCAGGTGATGGTGGGGCTGTACTGCGGGGACAGCCGGCTGCAGCAGGACGCGCTGGACCGGGTGTCGGCCTGGAAGAGCCGGTACGGGCCGCGCGGCGCGGGCGGGGAGCGCGATGCGGACCTCGGGGTTCCAAGCTCTGTCCCCGGAGCGGCTCCTTTGACTTTTCTGTCCCAGGCTCTCGCGGTCCTGGGCCCAGAGGACGCCGGGTGCGCGGGCGCAGCTCCCCCAGGGGCAGCTCCGCGGCCGCGGCAGTGTGTGCAGACCGGGTAGGCGGCCCCATCTTGTAGGGCATCTTCGTTGTGGGAGGCTCCGGGCACGTAGCTCCTGTCGGACGCACAGTGATCCTGTGGAGAGCAGGGGACGCAGAAGACCTACGTGCCCGCAGCTTCGCGGGCTGGTTTCTCGAAGCAGTGAGCATACAAGGCCTCCAAATCTTATTCTGTGTTGCCTCTGCCGCGTTCATACGGAAGACCTGCCTAGTTAAGGCCTCTTCTGTATGTGCGTAGCATATCAGTAAGTCCTCGTTTAACATGTGCTTAGGAGTAGCCATGTAATCACTGTTCCAGATAGAAGCCTTCTGGAAAGAGGCTTTGATGCTGTCTCTACATACTGTTTCTCAGGCTGTTATGTACCACAGAGCACAAAAACTACCTGGAAAGCTACCTTTTTTGCAGGGTGACTGTATTTGTGTGACTGCTCACCCAGTTTTCCTTTATCTCCAGTTATGGTCAAAAAATGCCTCTTGCAGTGGATTGCACTGCAGAACTGATTCGTTGCAAGGTCCTGGATTCATCTGGCAGATTGAAGTCACATGAGCTCATCCTCTCTTATGGGCTGGCTCTTGTAAGGTAAGGGCTCTTAAGGCCTGTGTGCTTTGTGACAAAGTCCTGGGCAGATGTCCTTATTCAGCTAAGTTCACTGTGCATTTCTGGGACCACAATATGTGGGGAATTTGTCTCTGGGGTTCCAAGTTTCTCTGCAGCTTTTGATAGTAATTTTCTTTTCTGTAACATTCATGCAGGTTTGTCAACTTGATCACAGAAAGGAAACAGAAGATGGCCAGCATTCCTCTGAGACAATTAGCCAGAGAGGTAAATATTTAATAAGAGTTGCTTGATAATTTATGTCTACACAGAAAGCATATGCATTGTCTATTAACAACACTGGGTGGAGGGAGTAGAGGGATATCATTCTTTTGTAACCAAACTAACGAATATAGGTGCCAGTTCTTTCCAACTGCAAAGCTTTAAGAGGCTTGCTGCAACTGTATCTAAATTTTTGTTCTTTAAAGTCAGATTAAGACTAAAAAAAGCTGATGATCATTAAAGCTTTTTGAATCACATGTGGTCAAAGCCTTGATTTACATGCATATAGTACCACTTGACATACTGCCCTATATTTTCCTTTCTTAGCTACTGAGATCCAGGAAAAGAGCTAAATCTGTAGTTTATAAATTCTAGTCTTTGACAAGCAAGGCTATACATAAAAAGCACTTAATCACATTTACAGGCATTTTCATCTCGTGTCTCTGGCTTCAGGTGAGCTTGTCCACTTCTGTGTCAAGGAGGGAAGGTTCAAGTTGCAATTGTAATAGCAGGACCAACTTAAGTAGTTTTATTGCCAGCTGCACTGAACACCATATCTGGGGCTGAACAAGTTTTGATAGTGAAGGACAGACATCGTTTGAGCTCTTCTATATATGCAGTATTGTCTGGACCCCTGTGTGAGAATGATGAATTGATTTCTGGTTTTTTTCACAGATTTTTAAGAAAGATTCTGCTTCTCACCTTTTAAAACTGAGCAAGCTTAAAAACAGAGGTCTTGCATAGTTAAAGGTAGTTGTCCTTAGGAAAGTTGCCAAAAATTGTGTACAACTTAGTATGTGGATTTCATTATTACGTATGATATGATTTGTATCTTTGGTATACAGTTATCCAGAATGTCTCATCTATTTAAATATAATTTAACTGCTTCTCAGTATCTTATTAAATTACACGCAGCACCTCTGTCTAAAAAGAAATCTGTTGTTGCAAGTAACACCAAAGAACTTAACATCCCAAGGCCACAGGAGGAGTGGGATCAGGGAGTTGGGGGATCTTGGCCCACCCTTGAAGTGGAAAGCTAAGAGTGACCTAGGTATAGGCTCAGCTTTGCGGGGCTGCAGGCAGCTGTGGCATGATGCAGTGAAAATGTGGGGTGACATCCGCTGGCTGTTCTTCCAGGTGGATATCCCCATCTGGGTTGTGGACCTGCGTCACGAGCTGACCCACGGGAAGCTGCCGCGGCTGGCCCTGTGCCGCAGGGGTGAGTGCTGCCAGGGGGGTGGCACTGGCAGGGGTGGAAACACCAGTGCCATAGGCCCTAAGAGGAGCATCCCTCCCTCCAGTGTGGGGGGCTGCAGGGCATGCAGTGGTCTTGTCAGACGTAGGGAGGATTTGCCACTGCCCTGTGGGGGTAGCTGAACTGTGTCTGGTGGCTCCAGGCTGTGGTACATCACAGGGAAGATGTTCAGAGGCTGCTCCCCATCCCCAAAAAAATACTGGAAAAAACAGTTTGGTACTCTGGCTTTTTTACAGCACAGGAAGTTAATCTCAGGGAAATAGGTAAAACCTTCTCCTGATGGTTTAGAGGTAACCTAAGACTCTTAAAAAAATCCCATTTAGGGAGAAAAGCAGTATGTACTGCAAGCCTGAATGAATGAGCAGCTCCTGGCATTTGAAGAGATTCTTGGGAATTTTGGATTAAGCACTGATGAGCCAGTTAAATAACCTTCATCAGGGTCCTTAGATTGAGGTGGATACAGAAACTGTAACGGAAGTAAAGGCATTTTCTTTCTATCTAATGTATGCCTAGTGTGCTCTCTGCACAAAAAAAAATTATGTTATTGTTGTAGACACTATGTTGACCATGGTGATACTGAAGTACCTGGCTCATGTTCTCATTAGAATGCCACTGCTGGGACTTAGTTTCTGGTTAAATTTGACGTAGCTTGAGCTAGGTGCAGCACTATAGTAGTGTCCAGTCTTTTTTGTTGCTAAAAAGAAAGTGGATGGATGTTACCAGGCTTGTGATACTGGATTGTGGGGGATTTTTGTGGTTCCTTTTTGGGGGGAGGGAGGTTGGTTTTGTGTTGGGGTTTTTTTGGTGGGTTTTTTTTAGGGTTTTTTTTGGTTGGTTTGGTTTTTTCTAATTTGCTCACCTTTTCATTAATGGAGTTCTATGTGTTTTCTGGATTCGTAACTGTTTAATAGCATTTCTTTTCATAATACGAGTTAGTAATGTGCCACCTATATTATTTTTTTTTCAGTAATGAGTCCTCACTGAGAAGGTAATGTTTTCTGTTCTCCTTTAGGTTGTGATGTAGTGCTGGACTGGCTACGAAAGACATATTGGAGCCGTCAGCTGGGCAATAACTTGTGTGAAGAAAGTGAGGATGAGGATGAGGAAGAGGAGGAAGCAAACACAGAGTTGGGCAATGATGCGTGGGAGATTCAAACCCCGCAGCATGAGGCCTGTCAGAAACACAAAGAATTCCACGGTAGATGTCCCTATAACAATGGCAGATGAAAGGATTAGATGTGCTAGTTTAAACATGTCATCTTCTAGCATAAAGATATAGCTTCAGCTCAGGTTTTAGGATTCCTCTGCACCTTGGTGGATTCTTGAGGTTGACTGACTGGTTTGGTATTGGCTCACCAAATTTGTAGCATAAAATCCTTTACTTCTATTGAATATGCAGTATCATAATCAGTAGCAACTGCTATACTGGGATGAAAGCATTGTAAAAATTAGTTGTAGCATCTTGATAGGCATAGTTTTGGTCTTGAGGCCACTACTGACAAAGAAGGCTATAGTCCTTTTATAACTCTCAAAACTTTGTAGATTCGAACTTGAGAAAGAGCAAGATAGAAGCGATTTAGCCAGTTTCAAAATATTTTGCATGTGGACAGAAAAATCATTAACTGCTGATAGTATTAAAAAAAAAAAAATCACAGGTAACTCAACCTGGGCATAATCTGAGATATTATGTGCAGAACAATGGGAAATCTTTGGTAAACTGCTCCAGTGGTTGCTTTTTCATCACTAGAAGTCTTTGAACCAAAAATAAAGGACTTTTCTCAAAGTGGATTTCTAGTTTGAATGGCTAAGTGGAGGAAGTGAGAGTTCAGCTTAGATGTCTGGTCTGCAAGTTTTAGGCATGTGAACTATCAAACAGTACCTCAAACAGTAAAACAAATTAGTCATAATTTTTTTCTAACAAAGCATGGCAGGCTTATGGGGGGTAACTTGCCCCACCCATTACAGCAGCCCAGTCCAAGGCTCAGAGAGTGCACAAATGCTGAAGTGATGCTTAGTGCTCCCTAGAAGGTCACACTAAGTGACTAATGATTCAGGCTTTAGGACCTACGGATTTGTTTCAAGTCTTTTCTAGATTCTTCCCTTACAGACTCTATATATATAGAGTTGCTGTGATCCAGAAAATTTTAGCTAATTTTTGAGTTTAAGACAGCACTTATTAGAACAATCCAAACCTAGAGGCAGTACTAAACTTCGGAATAGAGCAGCTCTTAACGTTTTTCTTGTTAAAGTGTTTTTCTGGTCTTCTGTGTTCATGTTGAATGAGATCCAAGCATGAGCTGTTCCTTCTTCTCCCTGACTACCCTAAACAAAAAAAACATACCACCCCCCGTTGACAAAAGAGAGAATCACAGGATGATATAGTAGATTCTGTGAT